CTTTTTTTCTTTTTTTTTAAATTACAGTTAACATACAATCTTATATTCATTTCAGGTGTACAACATAGGGACTAGACGTTTATATACTTTACAAAGTGATCACCCCAATAAATCTAGTACCCACCTGAATTAGTAAATGTTTCTTGAAGGAATAAGAGGAAAGAAAAGCAAGACAATTAAGTAGTTAATGGCTACTTTCTTTAACATCATGCTTTGTTTGTTTTCAGCTTCCAGCACGACATGGTGGTGGAGCCTGTCTCTGTGTCTTCATGACTGAGGTGTTCTTTTGCACATCACACAGGTAAAGCTGGCTGTCTTGCTGGTGTAAGGAAACTCTTCCTCCCTGGGATCATTGCTCTCATGTGTCTCTAGGTTCCCTTGAAATGATGGACTTTGTGCTTTGTGTTCTTCTCTAAAACAAACTTGGTAAACTCTCCCTAAAGGGTTCATGGAGCCTTTGGAAACTGGTGCTCAGGATGGCCTTTCTCTGGTCTACTCTGTGTTTGTGGTCAGAGAAAGAAAATATTGATTCTCTTTCTTCTTTTTAAGTACCTAGTAAATGCCATTTGGATCCTTACTTTTTCCTGCCTGGATATTAGCCTCTCCTATTAGGTTGTCTCAGATTGGTTTGATTTTAAACACAACTGTATTACCATTCTTTCTTCAAATGCTCCCCTGTTTCAATATGTTTACCAACAGAAGGAATCATTCTCAGTTGTGGAAATGAAAGTCAAACCGTATGTAAGATACATGTTTACACAGGAAACAGACTTGGAGATTTACAGGCTTAAGGGGCAGGTGCTATTATTCTGAGGTCCTAAACTTTTAAATGATGGCAACACTGAATTATGTACTTCATACCAGGAGCTGGGAAGGCACAATTGAAAACGCCTCTTCTTTTGACAAATTAGAAGCATTCATTCCAGTATCTATCCCTTGTTTACCAGGGATGATACTGAATGAATCACAGGCTGGTGGATGGATGTCCCTTCCAACACTTTTAATTAGCAGCACTGCCTATTAGGATGCACAGAGTGCTGCTTTCCTGTCATAGATTACCCCCCAATCACCACTACCCCCCCCAAATGGAATAGAAATCTTATTCTCCACAAGCTAATATTCATCTCTTCCCCAGCCAGACAAGCATAGAAAATTAAACAATGGTCCGTTAAAAAGCCCAGATAATGTATTTATCATTTCCAGTTTATGTGAGTTTGCAAGGCAAATACAAGTGGGAGCTATTTGTTATGGGACCTTGGGGAACCATGGGACTGGAGAGGGAGCTGAGAGGCTGGAAGATCTGAGACTTGTAGAAATTCATTAAAAAATATGAGGAGCTATTGGAGACAGAGGAAATTAATTACTCTGAGGGACTCAAATGTCACTACTTATTTAAGTGACCGGGCTAGGAGGCTGAGAAACCTGTTTTCTGAGGATTTCTGTACTGGAAAAGGTTGGGAGCGGAGATGCCTCAGCTGTCAATTTTTGCATTTCCTTGGTGGCTTATTGACATGTTAACCTGGCTTGTGCCCCAGCCTCCTCTAATGAGTAGCGTTAAATGAGAAATGGGGGTGGGGAGCAGCCTCCCCTGTAGGCTGGCCAGGGCGTTCAGAGGAGCTCACCAGGCATTTAAGGAACTGCCGGACCTCGGGGAGACTGGTAATTTACCACAAAGGAGAGAAGCGGCAGATAGATCGTTTGCAGCTGGACTATGTTTGGTCTTTTATTATCGCTTTTACATCCACAAAGCTATTCTCTGAGGTGGAGTGAATTT